ATACTGAGGAAGCTCGGAAGATCGCTGATGTCGTCTGAGAGGATAAAGAGATGAAGGGTATCGGGGAGGTTGGCGAGAATCTTTGCATATCTTAGGCTCCCTATAGGTTCACTAGGATGGTCGGATTTGACGATACTAATGTGGGGATTGTGTGCTTTGAAGGATCATCGTAAAATGACGGAGTTGGTCGAAGAAGTCGGATTTGATTCGTTATTGCGGGGGTGCCCCCCTGTGGAGCTGGGGTGAGAGTCGTGGAAAATATATTTTCGAGCGATGAGTGGTAGGTACATAGCGCATTATATGTCCGTTGACAGAGGCAGCAGTCGGTTATCGACACGCTTGGCAGGTGAGGCAGCATACAGGATGGTCCAGGGTGGGGAGGTGGCGGACATTGGAGTAAGGGGCAAAAGGGGGTTCGACATAATGATGGTATCATTTCGGGATCACTTTAGTTGTAGCGTGCTGCTGCTGATATGTGAATCAGGAATTCATTCAACTTTGAGAAATAGCCTTAGCTGGAGTCTGATAATGTTCCTAATGTGATGATGACATTTACATGAGAAACTGATTGAAGAATGTGGAAAATCCAAAACGGGTTCCCCCCGGGAATATTATAGGTTCCTGGATGATTCCCAGTTGTGAATTGCCTTGTTCCATGTTGAGTTTGATACTTGTATGTGATAGGAGGATTCCTTCTCAGTCGCTGCTGGTGGCACTGCGAGTCTTCACTGATCGTAACTTTGCTGAGAGGGCAGGTGCCGACGACTTGGCTGACTTCAACTGGTGTGGTGGGGTGTTGAGGCTTAGCCGGGTTGGTTTACCCTTTAGTGCAATGAGGTGTATCTATAGTGTATAAGTGATGTTTTTCTGACAACTGTACGGCTTTGGGATCTCCAAATTTCTACTACGCAGTAGTAGCTCGTAGCAACATTCGTGCAGTGGCAGAAACGTATAAAGATGTGTTGGTGAATAATTCTGTTAAATGTACAACACGCGCGATGGAAGGCTCAGGCGTGTTGCTGCCCACCTTGCAGGACCCTCCTCGTTCCAGCTTTGCGGGTTTTATCGTCTCCAGAGGTGCTCGAAAGGATAGGAAATGAGGATTTGATCAACTGCTTGCTGAGCGCTGGGGTGAGCAAATGTTCGGGAATGTACTTCTCATTGGTTTTGGGTTTAGATTGCGAAGAGCTTCGAAAATGCGCCGAAGATTTTGGCTGTGTTTTTGAAGGTAGCCGAGGAGAGGTTGCAGGGAACTGATGAAGTGTGTGTCGGTGGCGTTAGTGGTAGAGTTGGAAATGTGATGCAGGTCGAGAGTCTCGAGGATTGTGGTAAAGTGTATCGAGCGGCGTGTCGGAATATTCTGGGGGATGACGGGGACGCGGCGAGAGTGAGGGAAAGTATGGGATCGAAGTTTGAAGACGGTAAATTGCTCATGAAGGTGAGTGGACTCAGAGAACATGTTGGTCGCAGTTGTTTTTTGACCGGCAATAGCTCAGTTGGTAGAGCGTCCGACTGTAGTGATGTAGTCATCGGATGGTCCCTGGTTCGATTCCGGGTTGCCGGATTTTTCTCAGATTCCTATCCGTATGTCTGTCTGACATCCTCTCCCCAGCCCTCCATTCCCAGTAAGTCGACCTTCTTCCCACACACTGGTGGTGTCAGTTGTCGCGCCTTCAGGGTTGAAGACCCTGAGCGACGGGAGCGCATAGCCGTTGCCTGTGTACGAGATGTTTTCAATCCCATGACCCGGTAAGATCGGCGCCACCGCAGGGACTGTGCCCATCGTGTTTGTCAGAGACGACTGGTCGTTGTTGTCTTTGGATGAGCTCACGATAGTTGCCAAGGCGTGTTTTGATGCGGCCATGGCTGCATCCATGCCAGGTTGGCTCAAGGAGGAGGGCATGCCTTCGTGTAGCCTCTTTTGTATCTTCATCGATCATCCTCTGGATTCCCTCAGATTTGGGGGTATTGCTGGCGATTGGGCGTAGTCGTCGTGAAGAGGTCGTTCACCGTGGCATGGGCTACGTCCATCTACGAGGCGCTCCTGTATATGACTTATCAGCTTTCATTCGACTTATGAGTGCCACGCGGATCTTCCATTACAAAGCCCTGACAACAAGTGAGCGATGCGATGCCCTGAAGTGCTTCAAATCGGCGTTGTGGTAGTTGCCGATGTTATATGTGATGCCCCTATGGAGGAAATATCGTTGAAGGTGTGCTTCCGGACCCTCCGAGCCAGTAGTTCACTACGCTGGTATGAGCAAGAACTGTAATAACGGGTGATTATTCTCCATTTCTACGTGGTCATTTCATTCAGATTTGAGAAAATTTCAGCAGCTGTATTGGTTCGGT